CTTAAAATTATTTTCTAGGTCAGCTTGATAAAAATTAAATCCCATAAAGGGTAAGGCTCTTTAGTAAAGAAATTGCTCCAAGAGAAGCGATGCATTTAAAACACAAAAATGTGTGCTGCAAAGGGAAAAAAAAAAAAAATTGCATTTCTTATCCCTGCCTTCTCTGTTAAAAACATTTTCATTCTCACAATTTTTCATTTGTTTTAATGAAAACCAGGTCTTACCTGCCCTGAACAAAACAGTTCCTAAAGGCTTTTTCAAAATATCTTTATGATTTTTATCACTGTTAGCAGCACTGTTTAAATGCCCCAGAGAGGAGCTCAGGTCAGGCTGGCTGGAACACGGCATCGCACCTTCAGCAGGTGAAGCAACACCGTATCTTAAGCAATAGCACCAGCACTCAGCCTGTATCCAACAAAGCCAGTTTTACAGTTCTGGGAAACCTCAAAGTGTTTTTATAACGTAAACCAATGACAACACAAGAAAAGACATCATGAAAGGCAAGAAAACAGAAGTTGAGCAACTAACAGTAAACTGAAGTGTTTCATTAATGTCTGTTCGAACTAATCATAGAATGGTTTGGGTTGGAAGGGACCTTAAACATCATCTAGCTCCAGCCCACCTGCCAAGGGACACCTTCCACTAGCTTTAATATTTTAAATAAGAATTTCATTAAAGATTCAAAACCTGCACCTAAGCTCAAAATAACACATAATCAAAGTTTCTTATCCAAGTAGTTCACAACAAAATTAGGAGAGTCAATAAAGGCACGTTCTACTCCCCATTCCCAAAGCCACCTCTTGAGATGAATTTGTCTTTTTTTTTTTTTTTTTTAAAAAAAAAGACAATAGTTACCAGTCTCTTAACTACAGCCAAAATTAAACAAACTGTGCCAACAGCCCACACAATTTGCTTTTTCCATGATATTCTTGGTCCTCAACAACTGCTCTTTACATCAGTGGTCAAATCAGACCACTACTGTCACAGGGTTAGTCTGAGCTGAGAAATGGTTAAATCCGTCAATAGCATGTGCTGCTCCTTCCTTGCCATTCGGAGAAACTTACTTTTTTGTTGGTTTTTAAACACAACAGATTTCAGTGATTATGGATATTATTGTTTGAAGCTCGTACAGCTACTGAACAACTGGAACATTATGTTAAAGTACACTAGAACTAAATCATATTGCATTAGATTGCTATATTTAAACTGTTAATATAATACTATTGTTAAAACAGACAGTCATCTGAGATGGCTTAACACTATCAGTGTCAGAACTTAAATGCAAGAGAATCCATTTAATCAAAACATTATGTTTTATATAATGAATTAATCATTCACTTGGCTTTCAACTGCCTTTGAACAAAGTATTTCATGACACAACTTTACCTTCTGTATAGTTTCAATTAATAAATGCTTTTAACCAAGTAGATGAATTGCAGGTTACCAATTGGAATACAAACATTTCCCAGCGCGCATTCTTTCTGGAAAGGCTTCATGTGAATGAGTAACACTCGTACTTAAACGCTATATTTCAGGATATAACAATGAAGCCATTATTAGTGAAATAACTATGTTTATATTTTAATTGACTGAATATGAACCATGCGTGTCTGTTTTCAACATTTTCAGTCAGTGGACAATTTATGCATTTAGTCTGACACATAAGAGCACTACCCACAGGGAAGAACTTTTGTTGTAAAATAGTACCATATTATGCTCATAATAAAGCAAATGCATAGTTCATTAGGTATTTCGGAACTACAGCTCTTTTGAAATATATATATATTTAACCAAGTATTGCATAGTAGAAAAAAAGGGGAAAAAATAAACAGAACAAACTGTTAAAACCATGAGTGTATATGAAGAGCTATTGCTGAATTCTTAGGTACATTTTGATTGCATATAATTTCGTACCAACACCTAAAAGACAGGATTACTGAAAGCAAAACCCTTAAATTTTTGTTTGTTTTGTTTTGTCTTTTTTTTTTTTTCCTCCAAAATACCACCACTATTCAAGGTTTGGTTGTATTTTAATGATTCATATTTCATACATCCTGTTACACAAAAGGCATTCACGGTTTACGGCACCATTTTTCTTATTTTCAGTACGTGGTAAGATCTGTCCCTCCCACCTCTGCCTCGGAAGTGTTCCCCTGCGGTATTTCTGAAGACACTCTGAATAGGCATTTTAGTTACTTCCATATCAAATATGAAGCCACTTAGTTAAAATTTGTTTAATTCTGAAGAATGTTAGTGTATTTCACAGTGATAAAAACCTCAAAAAAATTCCATCTTCGTCCACCATCATTCTAGAAATTTTGAATTTGTGATCATACAAGCACAGGCAAAAATCGAGGTTAAACTGTTCATGAAAGTTATACAGAATCTTGACTTCATTGCATTTTCTGCCATTTGTCAATTGTTTTTGTGTTAAGAGTTTTAACTCCTACCAAAAAAAATAATCAACTCTGTCTTTTTAATTTCCTAATTCTTTTAGAAACAAAAGCCAGCATTAAGAAGATGGTTTTGTAATTATGCTTTCATTGCAAGATAAGATCTAAGGCATACATCATTCAGTGCAAAGTCAATCCCACCCTACAAAGAGAAGTCAAAAACCCCTTCATTCTCCCCTATGGACCCTACAGGTACATGTGCAAAACCCAGCAAGACTGAAATAAAGATGGACACAATGTACAAGGTACTTGCATAGTTAATATTTGCTCTACGGTTTTACAAAAAAAAAATAAAAATCAAATATTACAAAGATTACTGGTTTTATAGCTTTGAGTAGTGTCTCAGTGGCCAGCAATTTCAAACAAGTTATTAAAATCCAAGTAGGAGTTCACAAATGGTATTACCGAAACCATCTAAGTTTACCAGAACAAGAGCAGCATTTGTCACAATATGACCATCATCATTTAAACACACACATACTTACGTAAGTCAAGCCTATACCATGTATCTTGAGACCAGAGTTATATAAGGAATAAATTTACATTGTTTTGGTAAATACATATTCAACATGAAGAAACATAAATAGCAATAGGAATATAGCAATAACCTTGAACACAAATAAACCATAAGTTTAATCAAGTACTTCCATGAAAGAAATAGATGTCACAAAAAGATGCTCTAAATATTTTCTTACTATTTATTTTCTTGCTTTTTTCCTCCTTGCTTTTTTAACTTCTTGATAAACTATTAATTGCAAGTCATGGCAACCACAAGGCATAACTTTGAGACCTGGGCACAACAAAACTCAAACAAAAAAAAAAAAAAAAAAAAGAAGAGATGTTTTAACAGAAAGGCATACAGGCATACACACATAACAAAAGGGAAAGGGAGGCTTTTGTAAACCAGCCAGCAGGCACTGACTCTTTAGTGCCCACTACACCTCAGGTGGGAAGGAGCCGCTGGGTTTTCTGACTTTCTGACTGCTCAATATCCTAACAGCAGCAGGCAGCCTGCACTTGTACAACACTTTTCCACATGCATTTTTCACAAAAGCTTCCTGAGCAACACGTGCACGTCCAGTATCATTTGACACCTGGAGTCACAGACAGACTGAGCGGCCTGATGCAGTTTAGCAAGTTAGGAGTGAACCAGAGTTACGGTCTCTTGCCTTCTAATTTGTGCCCAATCAAGCAAGAGGATAATGATCCAAAATATCACAAAAACTTCAGTGAAACCTGGAATGTAGTATGTAATAATGTGCACAAACCTATTCACCCTTCAACCTAGCAAAAGCCAATGTTGCCAATTACCCTGCATGTCCCCATTAAAACTCTTTTGATCAATAAATATTAACCAGGTATCTTCTTTACCTATAACTAATGTAATCTTGAAGAAAGGACGAAGCCTACAGAAAACAAGAGTCAGTAATTTAGCACATCCTACATTCACTTTTCTGCTATCTCCTGGGGAAAAAAAACCCATAACCTTCTGATAACATGAGCGATGCATATTGTACAGCTGTGGGAGTTTCTATAATGAAACTCCAGATATAAATGATAATACCCATAATACAAACCATAAGTCTAAAATATATCTCAATACATGTGTGTGTATATATATTTCTAAAAAGAAAATTATCTAATTTTCTCTTTTATACACATATAAACATCTGGCTAATATGCCCTATAAAAATTTTTCCTTATTTAGGACTTAAATAAGAGTTTTAAACAGTTCCTTAAAGCATTTTTTTTTTTTTTAACACTATTCAAAAATGAAGAACTATCTCAGGGTAATCAAAAAAGCACACACAAAATAAATTAACATCATACCAATGTGGTTATATTGTTCAGAAAGTCCAATTCTCCCATTTGAAATGAAACGGAGACCAGTGTACCTTAGGGTGAATTATTCATCAATGTACAAATTCATTCTCTTTTTCCATGTAAGTCTTCATGTGAATTTAGCTGCATTTCCATAAAGCAAGAAACACAGTAAATCCGCAGAACTCTTGCAAAAGGGAGCTGTGTTTCACTGGATAAGAGCAGTTTTTGCTGAAGGGCAGCAAGTCAACATTTTACCACCACCTGAACACACTAGCAACACCTGTGCCCTTGTAAGCTTCACACCTTGAATTAGCAGCAACATATTTGATGGGTTCAGTAGTAATTTTTCTTCCAGTATTGGATTAGACTACTTTGCATATACAGTAAGTCAAAAGTCTAGTACTCGTGTGCAACATTAATCCACATTTAAATCTGAGAACTCATAAATACACATGGAAACAAAGGTGACATAGAATTAAACCTTTTAAGTTCAAATGATTTCTGTCTACATACAGAAACATCAGTGAAAAACAAGTATAAAGAAGATGGACAGTAGAAACAGAAGAAAAGGAGTACAGTAACTAAAACTGTAAGAAGTAGGTCACTGTTGAAAAGGCAAGTTGCAATTAAAATTGATCAACAGAAATTAGACTGTACCATCTGCAAAACGCTTAAATGCAGCATTATTTTGCACATCACATACAATAGATGTGATTTCTAAGAAGCATATCATAACAGCTGGCATACTTACTAATAGATTTATGGTAACTGAATACTTAATTTCTCCAGCTCTCAACGTACAGTAGTTATGCATTAGCCTTTAAAGCTCTTCATCAGCCTTTTAGAAGTCAAGGTTACATTTCCATGAACATTTAGTGCCCAAATAAGTTACAAACATTCACCTTCAATGAACTTTCATACAATCCAAAGATATTAAACAACTTCCTAAGCGGAATCATTTCAATACTACAAGATTTCTTTTTTTCTAGTTCAAAGGAAACACGTGTACCTTTGTAACTTCCAAAGTGAAGGGTGTTTTAAGGCAGTAAAAGATACGTATTAAAGTTTCCATGATTGTTTATGGTTGTCTATGTGAATAAAGCATATTACACACAAAATTGCTCTTGTATATTTATCTACATGACTTTGTTATACTGTACATGATTTAGCAATCTCCTTGAGAAATTTAAAGTGCCACAGTTCAAATGTGCTCATGTGTCTCTTCACGGGCTTCTAGTCCATTTTAGTTGCTTTCAGAAACAAGCCCTTGCTTTACTTAAAGAGCAGTCTTTTTAGGGAAGAAAATAATTCATCCTTCACCGTTGTGCTAACTGGAATCCAGTGGTCGAACCAATCCTTCTTTGTAAACACGAAGAATAGCTTCACAGACGAATTTGTATTGACTCTGTGTAAGACAGAAAAACCAAAACCATTTATGGATGATTAGTTAAACTCCCGATAATACAGTAGTATTGAATAGGACTAACAGTCCCCACTGCTTCCTTTTCTCCTGGACAAGGACAGGAAAGGAGATACAAAGATGGAAGCAGAAAATCCAACTCTCCTGGCTGTGTTCACAGTAAACAAAGGTAACATTTACTCTTCTTTGAAGGACAAGCATTAAAAAAAACTTCACACCAAGGAAACACAAGTCCCAAATTTAAAAGAACACATGCTTAAATTTCAGGGAATAAGATTTATTTGTAAAAGCTATGCAAATTTACATTTTTCTTCTGACTGAATTTAACTAGTTATTTATGTTCTTTATACATCTCATCTGAGTTTTTTTGGTAGTTTAGAAGTATTCTAACCTTGCCAATCCTGCAGTTACATATTACTGGGCACATTTAAGTTACATGACCAAAACAGCATTTAAAATTACTATATAGGATATATAGGTCCAACTGCCTTGCTAAAAACTTTACTTTTTTTTTTAAACCACCTATACTACTGCAGAAGACAGAATTGCTTTATTTTCAATTTGTGATCAGACCACACATCTGTTTTTGTAACAGAATGGGCTCAAAACCTTTGGAATGAACATTTTTGAAGAGTAGCAGCCACATTAATTATTCTGTCACCCAACATAGTGAGCTCATTTAGTTCTTATAAAGTCTTCACAAATCAGATTAGTGCTGCTTTTCTGAATTATACTATTACAAAGATTATTTCTTCCATGATCTTGTGATGCACCTATTTCTTAAAAGTAATTAGACTGTGAGCCTCCTTCTGAAAAGTGATACAAGGAGACATAGCAATGGGACCAGTGCAGAACTAAGAATCCAAGTAGCCTGAATAAATTTTTAAGACTAACACAATCCTGAGAACACAAGATGAAGGGAATTTAAAAGAACTTAAAGATCAAAGTATACCTCTCCTCTTCTCTGAAAGTAATTTTCACTATTGTCAAAACCTCAAAATGAACACATTTCTTCAAAGTTCCATAACATATATTCAGAGAAGCACAGCTTCACATCTTCTAAATCCCTTTTTACATCTTTGAAATGTTCTCCCAGCTGCCCTTGTATGCCAGCTCTCATCAATTCTCCTGGAGCATCTAGAAACACTCCCCCAATTTCTCCCAAAGGACAGGGCTAAAAGATAACACTTGGACAGTGGAGGACCTTAGGTTGGGTTTAAATACCAGTAGTTAGGAACGTTATTCTTGCTCATAACCTGCAATACATTTTCTCTTAAGTACAGAAAGACTGAAAGAAAACTGGAGGATGGAAATTAATTTTCTGCATCCCTATTTCCCTGCCTTTTCTTTCAACCCTTCAGTCAATTACTCCCACATTCAGTATCACTCTGTTCTTTTGTCTTTATTTCTTAATTACCTTGACTTTTCTCTTCATTGTTACTGTCATTTGCATATTTCTACTGCTTGAACAACCCAAGAGTGATATTTAGCTTTCTGTTCAATACTTCTGTTAACTTGTGCGACAAAGTTACTGAACAAATAAGAATGAGCACTTCAGCATTGCTCCCTCTGACTCAGCCTCTACTTGTTTTCTTTGCTCTTATCTGTTGCATGTATTCTTACTGCTCACTCAGCTGATAACTAGTTCTATTATGTATGTCCTAAAGCACTGCTTTCTGTATTGTTTAGTATCTGTAATTTCTCTTTAATGGAACATAATGGTTAGTGTGGTTGTTTTGTTGTTGTTGTGTTGGCTTTTTTTTTTTTCAAACGAAAGGCCACAGAGTTACACAAATTTTGTTGTAGCATTATTATTTTGATTGAAGCTTTTTTTCCTGTTCCTGATGACCAAATTACAGGTCTTTGAGAAACGGCAAGTTTCACATGATTAACAGCAGACACTAAACTGCCCAGTTAATAGCTCTGATGAGTCGATCCTTCCTTATGGAGTATGCCCTGTCCGATATTAACTCACAACATGCATCTGGCTATGTGTAACATCTCAGAACTGCAGCACACAAACAATCCCCACCAGGCAGCTGAACACGCTTCAGGCAAGGCTATTACAACTGAACAATCCCTCTGTTAAAACTGAACAATCCCTAATGGCTTCTCCCAGAAGCCCTGAGCCGAATATCAGATATCAGCAGTGGGGCTTGCTGGAGTGCAGGCACAGGAATGCAATAGCGCACCCAGGACAGATCAAAACGTTAACATGCAGCGCTCTGGTATTCTGTTTTCTCACAGCTGAGTGCTTGCTTTTGTGTCTCATTTACAGCACAGCGTGCCCATTCCGTTCATTGGCTTTTCCCAACAGAATCTGCGTACGTCACAAGTGACTTTAGCTTCACAGTATTGCTGCTACAGATCACTCCTCTCCTGATTGTGCTGATAGTGAACTGTGGAACACAGCAAGCAAGGTAAAGAATGCCATTTTAGATACTCAGTCTTCCACACGCGGGGTCTGATTGTCAGCATATTTATCACTATTCCCCATATTCTTCAGTTACATCAAACTGTAGAGTGCAAGGACAATTCTTGCTGATTTCTGTTGTAACAGGAGAGACAGCCTTCTGGCAAGCTGAAGTATTATTTCAGGTTCTCATGTCTGATTCTAGACCACCTCTGGCAAGTTTAAGCCTGAACTCACTCAGTTAATTTTAGACCTGAGGGCATAGGGGCGTAGACAGGTACAACTCCAGAAACCAACATTCAGCCTCCTTGAGGCTAGTGTTTCTCATCTCATGATATCCTCTGTCATAAGCTCAGCTTCCATTTCTGGCAGGGGACTATTCAGACAACTCCCTCCTCAACCATACAGTCCCGATATACTTCCAGAGAGTGCACTCACATTGCAATGAACAAGAGTCCCAGCAGCATGCATGAACAATCTCTGCTCACAGAGCACTCTAATGTTACACAAGCAATCACAGCTCCTGACACTTTCACACCCTTTGACAACAGAAGACTTTTCCCCCGTCTAGTCAATCAGGATGCCAGCTCCTGCAGTCATTATCCTCTTAATGAATAGAATTTGTCTTCTCAAGTTACCTTCTTCCTTCCCTTGACCAAATGGAAAACAAGGCATTTTCTTTGAAAGAGACAGAAATGGCCAATTTAACTGTTGACTTTGTTGGTCTAAACCCCTTTACTTCCACTTGTCATAGGCCATTTAGTTCTCTGACATAACCCACACTTAATATTCTGTCATCCAACCTCTACTCAAGAAAGTACAGCCTCCCATCCTTCATCCTTGGTGTCTAACATCAACATGTTCATTTCTAAAGCTGACACAAAAGCATCCTCATGAACTCAAATTGTCTTTGAACCACTTCCATCTTAAAATCATGCTCTACTTTCCTATTTCAGTTACTGATACTACCCAACTTTTCCTAAATTTCATTTGTGCCCTTTGTTTTTCCCAACTGAAGTAGTGGCAAATTTAAAAAAATACATATATTGTTCCTATCAAATTTCTAGTCCTAAAGCGGCCTCTTGAAAAGCCATTTTCTCTCTTCAAATCATACTACAAAACCTTCAAATTTACCTTGAATTTAATAGCTTCCTATAAGGCTCTATACTAGAATGAAAAGCAAAAAATTATTTTAGCTTCTGGCAGAGAATTTAGACAATGGACCATGACCAGATGGTTTGTGCAAGTCTGACTTTGTGCATTCTAACTACTTGCAATGTATAGAAAGCCCTTATCTTTTAATGGCAAGGTAAGATATATTTACAAAAAAGTTAAACTCACACCTCACAAGCAATGCAGCCTTTGCCATCACGCTGTGTTATGCTAAACGCAGGAAGCATGAAATATAAGGGCAACTGAAGATTCTTACAGCTAGATCATTTAAAAAAAAATTTGGATCTGTTTTAAAACTGAACAAGTGCAGTATAAATACAGAAAATGAGGCTTCCTCTCCATCACTTACTGATGTTTGCACCATCATAGCTCGCTGGTCTCGCATTTTTCGTACAATATCCAGCGGATAAACAGGTTGGTTTCTTTCAATTAAGCACATAGCTGTTTCCATAGTGACCAATACACCAGTGCGACCGATTCCAGCGCTGTGAAATGTGACAGAAAAATAGTTTATAAAATTAGGTTTTTGCAATGCACCAGATTCATATCACAGCCTTAATGCCAGGATGCTAAATAGCCTTAGAAATTACGGGAAGATGGTAATAAAATTAGAACAGAGTGTGAAACTCATCTTTAAAGCAACTTCAGTAATATTTCCTGCCAATTATTAAAAAGAAAAGAATTTTTATATAAATAAAACTAAAACCTCACTTAAAGTAAATGTATTTTTAACAACTATAACTGCTTACAAATCTAAATGTACTGGTTTGGTATTTGGACTAAAAAAAGATAAGAGTTACCTCACTGCTTTTTGAGAGGCACTTGAACAGCAGGAAAAAACCCTTTGCAACACCATTCAAAATAAGGTTACAACAGTGGTAGAGGATAAAAATGGAGAAAAACTTACACTGCAGATTATCAGCTCTGATAATTACACAACTACGCCATTTCACCAAAAGGTTGCAGGAGAAAGGGAGAGAAAAGAAACTTGTCCTTTACGTAAAACACCAGTGCTTCTGTCTTCAACAGTGAACACTGGCATTGCACAGTTGAACATTTTCATCTAATTCAAGGAATCTCCTGTCTTGCAGACCCAACTTTTCAAAACAAATGCTTATTGTAAGGCTGAAGTGAATCTATAATAGGAATTTTAAAACACAAGTACCTGCAGTGAACAAGGACCGGCTCGTTCTCTACTCTCTTTGGCCTCATACAGGTCACAAACTCCAAAAAGTCCATGGAATCATCAGGAACACCATGATCAGGCCAAGCAACGTACTGGAGATGGGTGATGGTGTGTTGTTGTTCTGTCTAAAACACAGGAAGGTTTTCAAAAAAGCGTTCCGTGTTATAACTCCTGTATCGACGTTTAGGTACAAGTCACGCTTTTCACAGTAACCATATTCTGCAGACGTTATAAGATGCGTATGATGTAGAAAATGTTTGTCATTTTAAAATTCAAAGTAAAGTATGAACACATAATTCTTAGAAAGCATTCAAAAGGCATAACATTTTCCGAATAAATGAGGCATCAATTTCAACTTCTGTGACCTAAATAGATTTAAATTTTTTTTAATTTATTGACTGTTGACCTATTATACCTTGACATCAATGACCCACCTCAGGTAAAATGCTAGAAGACTTATGCTTAATACTACTGTATAACAGTTCAGAATAGGTTGGAAGAAACAGCTGAAAACAGCAGAAGAACTAGTGAGAACCGTAAAACAAAGCAACACTGTCTTGGGGCTACACATTCTAAATATGTATGTCTGTGTGTGCTTACAGATTCAGTTATAATATAAAGTTCCCTGCCATTTGCTAAATCTGGTTTCCATTAGAAAACAATATATATATTGTTCATACATACATGTTCATTGTACATATATGAATGACTCCTGTATGACCCACAGAAGGATACTTTTCTATGTAGAAGCAATATAATTAGTTAAGAGATTCTGTTGTATGAAAAGCTCTTTTTTTTTTCATTCAATTATATCTAAAACCCCAGCAGTTTTACAGAAGTTCTTTCAGTTTAGCTTTTTGTTAACTTTGATTATGAAATCACTCAATCATCTTTGTATCCAGATTGGGCTCAGCTGCTATGTTACAGACGTAACCAGTGATTAGGGTGGGAAGGAAAAAACTGAAGACACTCCAAAGCTTCGCTGCATCATGCAATGAGGATCTCACCCTCTACAAACTGAGACAAGTCTTCACGTTCCTTTACTTCTTCCACCCATTTAGCAACAGTTAAACTGTTAGTTGCATTTTATCAATGTCCACTACTGGACTTAACATTTGACAACCTACTGAAATAAAACTCTCCTTTATCACTGTATTAGTCTATAAAAGCTGGCTTCTCCCTAGAGGTTCACACAAGAATGTTTTCATGATGCTAGTGACTTCAAGAGGTTTTTTTCCCCATTCTCTTAAGTGGACTAACTTGACATTATAAACTTTGCTGTTCCAAAAATATTGAATGTTTTTGGCACTCGTGGAATGATTTCAACTGAATTTATGTACTTGGTATTTCCACAAATCAGCTTGAAAATGATGGATTCGAAAAATTAGTCCAAAAAAACTTACAGGCTCCAGTGACACTTCCGGATTAAGTAATTTATGCAGTTTATCATCAGACATTTGGCCACCATTTAGCTGCTTCACATTGTTGACCCACATTTACTTGGCAAGCAGTTACAGAGGTCTAAGACATCATATCTGTCCCAAGGTAGTTGCTACTGTCCTTCTGATAATGGTTATTGTTGCTGCAGCAAAGGTGTCAGCCAAAAAAAAGATGTATTTGTACCTACCCCTCCTGTAAAAATTCAAGACATCTTATTGCAAAACCAACTTCACTGTGGTTAAGCTAACATCCTAGGTTTTGCTCAAAAACACAGGGTAAAGACACGTGATCTTTTCTCATGAATCTGCCACTGGGACTGCAACTCCTGACAAAGCATAGGGCTGTCAGAAGTAATGCTTCAAACGGGTGCTGCCGTAACGCTTGCAAAACAATCTCATTGTCAAGACCTTCGGCTGCGAAAAATATCCACTCTTCATCTTTCTGCAGTTTGCAATCTTCCTTATTATAATTGCATGAAAAGGCAGGCTTCCTCATTTCATTCTCCTAAAATAGCGGAGAATATAAAAGAATTGGGTGTTCTTCAGAAAAACAACACACAGAGCTTAGAATGCTAATACTTACAGGAAGAAGAAAATTTGGGCTTGAAAGGTCAACCTGAATTTTGACTTTCCTTAAAATCCAAGCAATTGATTTTGCTTTTCACCTTTTCATTTAATGTCCTTTTTTTGTCTAGGTTATAATATAATCTTCAACAAGAAAATGAAAAGAAATTTCACCATGTAGAACTTCATTAACCTTGAAATTGTTCTAAGCAGGAAAAGGTATGCTTTTTGCTAGTGAGCTTCACAAAGCACCTTCAAAGCAGAGACTCAGTGATCAGAGTTAAAGCCTAGTTTCTGAAGAGTAGATACTTTCGCAGTGGCATTTGGCATTTCTTTGGACCACACTTCCCATCACATTACTCTTCTGTACACCCTTGCCATAACACTTTTAAACTACTTTTCTTCTTCAGCTCTTTACTATTCAAAATCAACTCATTTTCTTCTACCATAAGTATTTGACAGAACATGTTCAGTGCAGACACTTTCCAGAGAAGCCTTAAAATACCTCTGCAGTGCGACAGGTTTGTCCTGTCCAAGACATGGTCAAATTTATATAGGTTTCTTTGGAAAGAGAAAATACACTGTCTTGTTTAATGTGCAGAGGCAAAAGTTTCAGTGAATCAATCTAAGAATCTTTAACATGAGCAAACTCAACATTTCCCCCCACAAACTGTTGTATGACATACATCTGACAAGAAAGACAAATGGCATGGAAAGCCTCAGGCCAAACAGTTCAGATGTGTAAAAATTGCAGAGATTTTATTTTCAGCTGTTTATAGCAGAAAGTGCTGGCAATATACTCATTTACATTGCTGCCTTTGTTTCATCTAATATCAGTTTAACACAGTCACTAGAAGGCCTACATGTTGGTCACTCATAACCAGAAAGATACTAGTCATTCTTCCTCTTGCAATTTTACCTCCTCCCTTCAAACTTCCTCAGCAAAATGAATTTATGCTTAATCTTCAACTTGTTAAAATTGCTGCATCCATTTTTCTTTTTGTTCAAACCATCCCCTCCATCATTGTGAGGTCCATGGAAAGTGACAGCTTTTAAACTCAAAAGGAGTTTATCTCCCCAAATTCCTCTATTTGCATTGTCATTGTGTCTGCACAATTAACAGTCCACATGATGACAAAAGGTATTGTCTTAATTACCTTGAACTGGTTTGTTTATAAGGTGTAAGTGCTCTCGTGGTACTCACTCCTCATTCCTGATAACAATGGTATAACTTGTCTTTAAAGGATGAAATTCAATCAGTTTTTAAACACCTTGATTTTTGTTTGAATGATTTCGTTTAGTTAATGAAATAATCAGATAGGGGTACTTTGAAAACAACTAACAAGGTGTGGCAATTACTAACATAAGATGTAACAGAATAAAAAGAAAACTTGCAAAATTGCAGTTCTTCAAAGTTATATAAGTAATATGCTTCAGCAAGCATAATCTCCACAGTCTTGCTAAACTCTGTGGCTGGGTTCTAGTCACACTTAACTGAACTCAAGAAAAACGATTGTTTAAACAAGTGAAAGCAGCAAAAAATTTTTTTCAAAACATAATGGGATGAAATTGGTGAGATTTAACGAGCAATGATATGTTGCAAGGCAATTATCTTAAAGGAAAGAAAAGAAATACCTCTTTTTGAAAAGAAAAGGCAGGAAATTAATCCTTATTTCATTTCATGAGGCTTAGAATCGTTACAAATGTTTCACACATTTGCAGACATTTGCTGATCTTCAGTTACAGGTAAGAAGCGCTCAGTTAAACTGCATCAGAAAAATCCTAAAAAGTTTCTTGTTCCTCAAGTCTTCTGAACATATATGAACAAAAGGCCAAGGGCATCATTTTATAAACTTCTCTTTTGAGCTATTTTCCCCTAAAGGCAGATTTAAAATCTGTGCAACTTAATTCACAGGAAACTTTCACAAATACGCCTTTCCAACAGAAATCAGGTCTCTTGAGAGTTCGGAAGCTTTATCCATCTTACTATTAAAAGCTGCTTGTCTTCAAAAAGACCAGTCCAATGGTGCTCACGTTAGTTCAGGGAACAAAATAACCGTGGTTTGAATTCAGATGACTTACGTTTTCTTCAAAGAATACAACAACAATATCTGTGAGAGGTAGTACATGTAAAGCTTTGCAAAGTCTACTGAAACACAAGATGCCTCCAGAAGAATACATTTGGTCAGCTTTAAGAAAGTGGCTCAAATGACGTGTAAAACTAGGAGATACTTTAGTCTTTCACAGAGTTCTTTCACTACGTTTTAACAAGCTACAAAGGTTTTTATTTCCATCTGCAACATCAAATGCCTATAGAGCTATCAATCATTAAGGTCATGTTTTTACCGTATGGACAGCTCAATGTTGAGTATTCTTTGAGTGTAGCTACTTTAGCGAAAAAAAACACTCCACCACCACGAAATACAAACAAAGTAAGACTCCCTCCAATTGCAGTTCCCTTACCACAACACACACACATCCACCTAGGACTAGCTTTAGCATGCTGCTGTCTAACCGAGATGAAATCTCGGTTACAAGCATACGCACACCTTTGCGGTAGAAACCATGTTCTCAGCTGAGAGCTACCATGAGACAATTTACACAGCTGAAGATCCCTGTAACTTTCACATCTGTTAACACATCTACAAAGGCACACTATATTCTCACACAACCTTTACCTCAAAAAGAATTAACTTGTATTAAAAAATAAAAATTGGCTGCCCCATTCTCATGAGGATTTTGACTTATCACACGCTAGCAAATAGACACCTGAAGTGCAAACACATCCTGAATAGAGTCACTAGGGAGTTTACTCAAAATTACATACCAGTTTGACAACCAAGAAAAAGAACAAGTATTTGAAAAGAGTAAACTATTTACATGAAGCATTAGCGAACCAAAGTTAAATGGCAATCAACTAATTTGAGTGACAGGGACTAAAAGTTTGTCTACATATGCTCTGCGATGCTGCTTTAACGAGATGAATTTCTTCTGCGCTGACATCCAAGTTTATCATTTACAGATTAACCGGCTGAAAACAGAACCAAAAATCATGCTGCTCCCTAATTGGACGGTTTCTCATAGCTAGAAACTGAACTTAACTGAAAGACCTTTAAGTACTGCATCTCACATATTTATGACTACAAAGGAAATCTTAATCATGTTAAAACAAATTTGGATGCCCTGTCAAGTGATATACTCAGTTACAAATTATTGAGACTAAAGGATCGGTCATCTTGCTGTAAGAACATCAATTAAACGTTACATTTTAAACCAGTTATTTCCTTTTTCTTACTACTAGCAATTCTAGTAACAGTAAAACCTACTTAGTTATATGGAAGTTTAAAAGATTGACTAGTATTGGAACTGTAAATTAGCATTCGGGCATTATACAGTGATTTCTTACACACGTATCTTACGATAACACAATCCCTTCATCTTTTTAGGAGACACTTGTGACAACAGAATTTTGGAAAAAGAGAAGACAAGGGAAATGTGTAAGAAATGTAGGACAGCTTAGAAACCAAAGCCAAACTTCATCCCCTATATTCAGGTTATGGGAAGTCTAGATGCGATCTGAACATAATTTTACAACACAAGCTGATATGCAAGAAGTATTCCATGTATTTAACTTTCTCTTTGCTTTATAACCCTTCCATTAGTATAAGGTATTAACAGCTAGAAAATATAAGTACCTAATATAAATTGAGCACATTTCAATTCAGATACACAAGGATTTCTTTTCTTTTTTCAAGTCTGACTGAAGACAATGAAAAAGAAATGGTGAGGCACTGCATTTTCTCTCAAATCAACATCATTATGCTTCACTTCTTTGTTAGCTATTCTAGCTGCATGTGCCATTAACCAGGTGACCTATATCTCATCCTTGAAGGAGCACAGTTTAGAAAAAAACTCATTGAAAAACCGAAATACTTGTGAAGAGTCAGTGACCATGAAACTGTTTACAGAAAAGCACTAAACTTATAAAGCTTATTTCAGTACCTGTACAGCATAATGTATTAATGTATTGGAGAACTTCAAAAAGTATGTTTTTGAAGAAGCTCTAAAGAAATAATCATACTATGTTGATTCATGTAATAAATACATAATCTTTTCATAATGTGTCTATGTATACACATACACACACGTGTATATGCACACACAGAGATGTACATGCTCAGACACAGAGTCTGTACCTACTTATACATGTATTCATTCAGCTTGCTTGGGGGCAATTAAAGATAACGGGCATTTACCTCAACATGTGTAATCACCATTTCTCTAACAACATAAGCAATCGTACAATCTTCAGAGTGGCACCTGACACGAAAGCTGCCATATTCCATTACATCTGGTGGATCAGGCCAATACTGATGACATTTGGTCTGTAAAGAAAATTAAGCACACATCAAGACTGTATACAAGCACTTCCATTTCCAGCCTCCCCTCCTATGCTACGGTTCAGGGAACTTAAGGAGCAGTACAAAACCTATTCTGGTTTGTCAGTGAGGTGCTTAGATCCAAATTGGAATATAATGTGACAAAACAGGCTAAATTCTGTATAAACTTCTGTTTTAGTAATTTATAATGAAAATTCAGGTAAATTGGATGCAAGATGCTTTCTGTCTGGTACTTATCTGCAATTGCTAAAATGACTTCTGAAGGCATAATGTAGTAGGAGAAACAGATGGATTTATTCCATCTTAAGAAGAAATGTGTAGGGGGCAAATTTATAGCTATCTTCAGCCACCCAATAGCACGCTATAGTAAAGACAGAGCCACACATCTCTTGAAAGTGAACAATGAAAGGATAAGAGATGACTGAAAAAAAAAAATGCAAAAATGGAAATTCTGATTACGTGTTGGCAAAAAATTTCCATGAGGATGGTCAAGCACAGAAACAAGATGCCCTATGAGTCTGTGGAATCTCCATCCACAGAAATCATCAAAACTTAAGAGACATGACACTGTGCAACCTGCATGAAGTTCAAAGGTGCTCCTGCTTTTAGCACAGAGGAGTGGACCAGATATTTCCACAGGTCCCTTCAACCCTGAATTATTCTTAGACTGTGATGCCAGATCATGCTGGTATGCAAAAGGTAGTGTGATCCAGTCCGTGCCCCCCTGTTCCGACACTGCAGTCTCGTGGCTGAAAAAAAGAGCAAAGCAGGCTCCATTTCTGGAGGCTCTGAGAGATAACTCATTCTGCACAGAGAAGGGGAGCAGGAAAAGGAATATCCAGCAGCACAGTCACTCCTTAATGTGCACCCTCCAGAAGTTCAATATGCCTGGTACTTGTCTGGCTGCTTCCAAAAGAATGGTTTCCCTTCTCCTCTCCCTGAAAGCAAGTGGTGAAGGTAATAAATTCACCCTAGCAACCTTCTAAAGATCACTTCCCTAACTTGGGTGTTAGTTTCCAGGCCACTAACAGCTATGTGTTACTTCAGTTTTTGACAGGAATTCACTGAATAGGAAAAAAGTCTTCATTTTCCCATTCAATTGTATCTTGTGTTTTAAGGAAACTTATTTTTAAAACACAGTATAATGCTTATGAACTTTAGCAGCAAGAATACTATATAGAAAATTATTGCAGGCATAATAATTCTATAACTTGGTCATATACTGAAAGTTGCCCTTCACACTTTCTAGGGAAAATTGAGCTCTGAAGCTGGAATAACTGATGAACAACTTTAGTTCATGCGTGTGTCATTTATCAGAGATGTGTATTTCTTTTCTGTGTCAGATGCAAGACTGAAGACAGAGATCTTCTGTTAAATGAGTAATTGTATCTAAATGCTAAAGTTATAAACAAAAGCCCAGAAACATACCTATCGATACAAGAAAGCGTAACTTGCCATTTGCCTCAGACAGGAAACATGCAAGACCATAATGGCTTAGCCTTCAAGCCTGTCAATGTGTGACAAGCAAAGTCATGTGTGCACGTGATGCACCTGATGTACTGTATTTTGGTGTACGTCATACTGCATACACAAGTGAGAGCTGAAGTGGAACTCAGTATTAGAATTACACCCCTGAAATACCGTATCTTTTCTAAAAGAAAACAGATTGATCAATTCCACGTACAACCATAAGGAACCATTTTCTCTCCTGTCTTCTGCTGCTGATAGTAAGAGGCTGATCCTCAGATCCTACCACTCTGCTGCTGATATTATAAAGTCTTCCTTTTTCTGGTTCACCTTCTAAAGGCAGGTAAGACAGGCACATTTACTCAGTGTACATTTAACTTTCATAGAAACAATCCTAATGCCAATATCTATTCCTCATTTTAAATGATAAGCTTAGAGCAGCGCTGATGACAGAAAGTTTGCCACCTCATGTCCCATCTAGTCAAAGTCTGAAATGCCAAATAGTCTGAACTTGAAAAAAGTATTCCAGTGAGATACTAGTTCAGTGAAATCTTTGTCCACTGAAGACAGCTCAAGTTTACCCATCAACATAAAAGTTTCAATATTTCATCCCAGTAATTAAGTATTCTCATCTTCCACTTCTGCAACTCTAGTCTTGCAAATAATTGCCATCATGTAACAAATACAAACCAAGTAGTTTCCAAGTATGAATCCACTGGACTTATGAGAAAGGTATACTAGAGAAAAAGACCAGCTGAGCTATGAAAAAAAATCCAAGGGATTCATTAAAAAACTATCTTGACACAACACCCCAGACACTGTACTGAAAGCTTTATTTAATTGTGTGTGACCAAACCAGCTGAGCTATAATTGTCCTCTTCGCTGCCTATACATTTTAATAATAACTGTTACTAGCTCCAAAAGAAACCTAATAAATTTATATTCCCAACTGGTTTACATTTCAGCTTTAGTTAATTTGGATTCTCTTATCAACTTATCAACATTGCCTGTGCCATCTACATTTTTTTTGTCTATAACGTCTTTTTGAACTAATACAGAGTGGCAAGAGCTGGAAATTTTGAAATATTAAAATTTCTTAATTCTACCTTTCTCAAGGCTGACTTTTCAATGGCTTGAAATCCAAATTTTAACCTTTATGCCTGAAACTTCTACTGTATTAGTTTATCTGAGATACTTTCCCCTCTAAATTTAAGCAAAAATAATACATCCATTTCTAAAAAATAAACGTTACCGGGGGGAAAAAAAAAAAAAGTTTTTTTTTAATCTTATAATACAAATCCTAACATCATTGAAAAGAGATATTCTAGAATGTAAAACCTCCAGGGTTTGGGAAAAAGTCTGGCATTTGGCAATGGGGATACTCTGGCAAGAACATACATCTTTTTCAAACCCTGAAAATTTACCCACAAACTGGGCAGATGTAAATCATCTCTGAAAGTAAACAGAACTCAGAAAAAGTGCCTGGTGTATAAAGGTACCAGCAGGATGGTTAGAAGTCAGCAACAAATTGTTTTGAAGGTTCCAATTCACTGGGCAAAGCACAGACTAGTACTAACCTGTGTTTCTCCTCACTACCAGAAAAAGCAAGCAGGAAGCTATTTTAAATGCAATACGCTTGAAAGATGAAGCTAGCATTTTTCTGCCAGATGATGTTCAATAATGGCTGTCTCCATGAACAGCTACGTAACCTGACCATGGTTAAAATCTGTTGCTTTTCAGCTTTCACTCTCCTTCCATACATTTCAATGAGGAATTACATCATTGCTTAACTGTCCTTACTTACGTCTCATTATGCTGTTTAGGACCTCGAATACTCACTCTGTCACTTTCCAGAAACATTGTTTTTTGACTGGAATACCAGACAAATGTGATAGTGTAGGATAGATCACATAGGAAAAAGATAAAGGCTACAGTGAAGGCTTGCAAGAGTCATCAACTTCTCCACCTCTTAAAAAAAGAACTGTTCAGTTTTCAGCTTATAAAACTTCAAAACCAATCCCTTTATGTACATTAATAACGTAAAAACTTCATGTTTAAAACTACAAATGATATATTAAATCAAAGTACCCCAGAATACACCAGATATTGCTTCAATTTTTACTGTATTATTCTGAAATTAATGGAGTGCTAGAATTTATTTAAACAGAATTAAAAGAATTATCAGACCAATTCTAGGAAAGAACCTACAACATAATTAAAAGTAATCAGGTTAAATTCTGACCACCACCATGCTAAAACTAGTGAGTACAGTAATGGTAGACTCTTGTTTGAAGCCAGACTGCAAGTTTTGCTCAACCTGCTCAATACTTCCAGACATTAAGAAAGCAATTGCCACATAGAGCCAAGTTCTCAGGGGACAAAAATGACAGCACATCGTACCTGGCTGATCGGCAAAATGGAGTCAACGCAGTGATTTCTGTCTGTCAGACAGCTGGTTTGTTTTCAAAGCAAAACAAAAAGAAAGTTGCAGAATATCTGCAAGTAATTCAGAAAGCCTGGCCTTCAGAGAAATGATTCAACAGAACAAGCTGGCCCATTTTAGGGTTATTTAATCATAACAATGGGAAAAAAGTTTAAAGGTACAGTGCATTTCTTCAGCATACAAAGAACCTGAACGCTTACCCGTCCTCGTTCAGTGAGAGTTGTTAACATGATGATCAGTGACAATTTGTGATCCCAGACTACTTGCCAGAAGTGTGCACATGTGTGTGGAAGAGGCCCCTGAGTAGCAATGTACCTGTTCACAATGCCCACAGAAGGAATTTCCATCTATAAAGAGAAAGAAAATATCCTATGTAAAGTTTGCTGGCACTACTCAAGTACTATTTTAATTCAGCATTTCATTCAAACAGGAAGTTTTGAGGAAAGGTTAAGACAGCAAGCTGAGCAGTAAGACAATCAAGATCGCAACTTGTTATGTGAAAGATCTTTAAATAGCTAATTTAAAGAAGACGTATACTATAGATTCTGTAGCCCTCATGCTGACCTAGGAAGAGATGATTAAAGGTGAAAGTGTATTTGAAAACTTGAACCTGCATTGCTTTCCAAATTTTCTTCAGTAATGGCAAGGCATACCAAAGGTACACTAGCAAAAGCTGTTTATTGCCTGATAGTAGACACAGTAAGTTAATAGTTGATTCTGTCATTTAGGTGTTTAACTTCAGTATCTGACACAAATATACACATATTTTCCCCCTCTTCTTCCTGCCTCCCAGCCTGCACACATGATTAGGGCAATTAGGGCTCTGGTTTATCTTCTGGACCATTTATAGCATTGTTGGTAAGCCATAAGTGGTTCTAGTGGGAAAAAGGCTTAGTTTTAAGCTATAGGAGACAACCTCAGCACCTGCGGTATAGGGAAAGGTAACATAATTTTTACTGGTTAAAGACTCTGCACATATCACAATGCTTGCACCTGCTGTGTATTGGGATGCCCATTTGTTTCACAGGAGACACTTCAACTTTTACATTATGAATCTTTAACATCTTTAACATTTACAACCCTCAAAATATAAAATGAAAACCCCTTATTCCTTAAAAAGGCTAAATTTAGTCTACTCTTGTAATATAGAAAATAAGCAAATGCAGGTCTCTATGACTTACATTCACGTAATTCGCATTAATGTAATCTTCATCTCCTTGCAATATTATCCTTGTGGCATCATCTGCGCACACACACACAAAAAGGGAATAAAATGAGCAATTAAGGGGCATGTTTCCCTTCTATTAAGTCAAAAAGCACCTGAGGAACAACAGACGCATGAACAGCAGAATACAAACCAGAACAGATTACCTTTTAGAAAATAAAATGAACAATTATACAACTCCGATTATATAATGAAACCTTTAATCAAGAAGTTCAATACAAGTTTTATAAGCTATCATTTAGAGGATAAAGCAAAATAGGCAGAAACTGTACTTAATACTCACAAGGTAGAACATCTTTGTATCTATTCTTGTCCATATTCTGAGGTACCTTTGCACATGTAACAGCCAGGCCTGGTTTCTTTCTATAAAGTTGCTGAAAAACAGAATGAAAAATGGTAGGATTTTGAGGGATGTGACACACACCAAATATATTCACCTGAAAATACACAGACTGAAAAAAAAACCATAAGTTATTTTCTTTAATCTTTTTCCCAGTCATCTGCAAAATTCACCCAAGAGATTTTGGTATTTAATGAGACAAGAATTTTTTTTATTGCTAGCCCACCATCATCTCTAGAAGAATTTCTAGCGGGGGGGGGGGGGGGGGTGTTGAGAAAGGAAGTGTGAAAGTCATTGATATAAACCATTTGCCTGCAAGGTTGCCTTAAGTGTGGAAGAAGTGAGCAATAAAAGACATCAGAAGAAAAAAAAATAGGTAGAGACTGGTATTTTCTGGATCAAGTGTAATACAACAACAACAACAAAAAAAAATCAGACAAACTTTCATCCTCTGGACTAAAACCACCACACTCAACTCTGCAAGTACGTGAAAAAACCAAAACTTCAATGCATCACAATGTCTTAACATGTGATTCCCTTTCTTTTGGGCAAACTTTATCTGGAGTAAATGTAGGCATACAAGTGTTGAACCAAAACTTTAAGGCCAAAATGCATTAAGTGCATTGTACAAGACAAAAGTGCAGAGGAGGGAAAAAGCCTAACAACAACAATCAAGAAACGTAATTATACAACTACAGTTTTTCTGTATTAAATATATATAACAGCAGCTCACAACTGAGTTATCCTGGCTGTGCCAGAGTTTTATATACTTCACTGAACACTTAGCAAAGAGCTCATTATATCTTACATGTTTAATGAAGATTCAGAATATGGTTCCATACATAAAATGGAATGAAACAAGCAGGAGACTAAAATCTCCTACTTCAGTTGAGAGAAAAGGAACAACACACAAAAAGTTTATTCTAATGTGAGATTTACTGAATCCCAACACTTTGTATCACAGCTCATCACGTTTTTCAACTTGAATAGCATAAACAAGCCATGTGAGAAGAGAACTTGATAATATATGTAACTAAACAGCTTCTATCAGTTATAACTCAAATTCCATTTTACCACAGCCAAGTTGCAATTTCAGCTTTTTTTAGGAGACTTTTATTGGGAAGAATAACGTTAAGTAACAAATCTGGAGTTTCATTATTGTTGCTTGGCAAAAAGTCATTTGCCATTGACAGACTACTTAAATTCTGCTTAAGCGGAGGAAGATATTCTGGAAGAACTTAATTATTCATAGTTTACTGGCTAATTATTTACTATTTTGCTAATATGAATGGAGAATTTGAGAGTCACCAAAAGTGACGAGGTGATGCTGCAATTGTGTCTGCTTCTGAAGATCACTAAACAATGAACTCAAAGAAAGAAGGGCACTAAGCCGTCCCCTAGTTTATTAGATTTCAGAAAGGTTTTGTGCTTTTTTTGTAGCATCAGTAATATCCTTTTATAAACACTGTCACAAAAAAACATCATAAAAGATCAAAAATCCTATGAATACTATTACAGGAACTTTGTGCAGAAATTTAGTCAACAACTTTGACAATTAGGAAAGCATTGAGAGGCTAGTTCCTATCTTTTGAGTTACTGTTTCAATAGACAGACTCATTGCTATTGCTGCATTGCAACTAGTGCTGTGGGTTTAGAAAGCAGCTGTGAACCATAGTCTACAACTCCTTAAAAAAAAGGGGGGGGTGGGGGCAGGGGGCAATCTTAACTCTCAGAAATCTTGGAAACAAAATAAACCTCATTAAAAGAGGGGTTATGCAATAAGGAATACCACAACTCTTCAGCCACCACCATTACATCTTACAGCATTTGAAAAAACAGTGAAGGAAAAATACCAAAATTGGGAAAAATTGTATTGCAGTTCTACAAGTTCTCAGCATCAGAAATGGTTACTCCAGAACTCAACAATGTGGAATTTATAAATCATAACAACCAGATTACTATAAAGTTTGCATCCACAAGAGCAAAACAAGGCCAATCATACATACACTGCACTCTCTTACCATTAGAGGAGCAGCTAAATTATCTTTTGGAATTTCTTACGCTAACCCTGAAGGAACTAGTTTAATAAACCATAAAACCTTTTTATCAGTCAGTTTTCTATGACATTCCTTGCTAACACGTTGAAGAACATGACAAACAATTCATTAATCTATACAGCAGTTCTTCAAAGTCTCATCCTATATACAGTGGAATCTCATCTATGAAATACTCTGCCCAAGAAGTAAACATCAGTGTTTTAGATTGCCAAGGGGAAACACTACAGAACTGGACGTTACAAATGTCCTGCAAATGGAAATTAACATTCCAACACTTCGTATCAACCTCTAAAAGATGGCGACGAGGAATGGTCAGGTTTCTCCTGTTGTTCCATGAAAGAAGGCATCACATGAGAACCAGAAACCCTAACTCATGGTATAAAGCTGTTTTAGAAAAGTCACTGAGTGGCATGGAAAAAAGAAACAAATACAAGACTGACCTATGTCAAAACTGCAATATTCTACTCAATGAAATAATTAAGAAAAAAAAAAATTAATTTAGCGATGTTTGGGTACTTGAGCTAACGCATTAACTAATCCACATTTTTCTCAGCAGATTATTTTTTATGCAAGACTGGTAACTCACTGTTCCCTGTCCTAAGCAGTGAAGGGTGAAACTGACGGGCAAGTCACATTCTTGCTCTCCTGAGATAAGACTGAATGGGAGCAATGACATTTCCAATTAATTAAGCCCTGACATTACTTGCTGGTCACAGCTATTGGTCTATATTAATGGCATCTGAGAGCTAAGTATTACCTACCTCAAACTGAATAAGGACAGTCCCACTTTCCAGCCCTCTCCTTAGCTGCTCCATAGACTCCTCCAGTGTATCACCACCATATTCAGAACAGATGGGAAGAAGAGATTCTGGAAGATTGTGGGAATCAGCTTCGTCTTCTGATTTAGGGTCCACAAACTGTTTAACTACTGAAAGATGTATTGAAATTTAAAATCCGTTACATACAGCATTAACGTGTTTGCAACATACGATTTACCAGCTTGCAAGAACAACAGAGTTTGCAAAGACAAGGCCTCAAGAAAGCAAAACCAAACCGCATTTAACTGCATTTCTTTATGTACCATATTACTGTAGAAACTACTAAAAGTAAAATGTCCTTATGACCTTTCAGAAAATGAAACCCCTCAAGGTGCCTATATATGAAAGCAAAAGAACTTGACTTCCAAGCACGAAGAGTTTTTTTGCTGCAAACTGGTCTTACAGAATGAACTGCTGAATAGGCTAATGAACCACAACATCCACCATGGTAAAAACAAATTAGTTTTGCCTAAGAAAGTTTAGAGCATGATTAATGGCATATCTCTGTAAGAAGTTCATGTAAGTTTGGACCCCCAACAGCAAAACAAAAACAAACTTCCACATACTTCCATTGTACTCCCTTGCCATTAGAGAAACAACTGAATTATCTTTTGCAATTTCTTATGCTAACACTGAAGGAACTAATTTAATAAACTACAGAAAAACTTCTTAGTCGGTTATTATGACAATCCTTGCTAACATTTTGAAGAACACAACAGGCATTAATGAATTAATATGCACAGCAGTTCTGTCTCTATCAAAGCTATTGTGTCACCAAATGTGTCCACCTGTGGTTACTCTTGGAAGTGACCAGGAGGGCTCATACCTGCCAGACTTCAGAAAACGGGGAGCTGTTCATACTCATACCTACACAAATGACTGGCAAGGGGCCACATGCCAGTGGCCTTTAGCTAAGAGCAGACTTCGCTTATCTGCAAGTAGGAAGGGGACTAGAGAAGTTAAGGGAAAACTAAATCCTGCAGAGAGCCAGGGGAAAGGCCTACACTAATAGGAGCAGGACTGTTCAGGGAAAACAAGACCAAGAGCCTACTGTCCTCCTAGAAACACGAGAAATTTTAAATAAAAGTAAATGCTACAGAAGTACATATCATTTAGGCAGTTTTATTCCCTCCTGTTTTCCAGTGATGCATAATCCCTTCAGATTTTTGAGTCCTAATGTAAACAAAACTCTGTGCAAATCCCTTCCATAATTGTGGTATTACCATAGCTCTTAAGAAAAGTAAATAATAAACTAGAACTTCCACATTATCTGAAAGCTCTTGGGAACTGCACTTGTTTAAATATGGAGCAAGCAAAACCAAGCTGGATGGGTTCCCCATATCTTAAATATACAGGTTTAAGACCCTGCATATTTCAGAGATTGCCTCCTGTTTGCTGGCAAACCAGCCCAGGTCAAGTTCAGTATTGTCATAAAATGTCTATTGTAAGAATTGAAAGAAAGAAAAGAAAGAAAAAAAAGCTTATTTGACTTCATTGTATAATTGGGCTAGTGAACAGTCCATGGATATTTGCAAACCCGCAACTGGGATTTGTGCAATTATGCTATATTTACCAAAGCGCCCCTCCCCCCCACCCCCCCAAACAAATACAAAATTTTGCAAGGGTCTATTTGTTCTCATAGACTTTTAGACTTAAAAAAGATAAAGACTTGATAAGATTCTTTGTTGCAGTGGTAAGAACTCATATAGTTAAAACCATTTGTAGTAATAATACAGATGCAGGGAGTTACACTTTTTAGCACAGACCTATTCCCAGTGCACTGAGAACACAGTTATGTGAACGGAAGAGGGTATATCACCAAGCATAAGAGAAACAGTCTCAAAAACATTAAAAGCAAATAAAATTAGCCCAGTTACCTTTCCGCCTGACCAAAAGTGCAAGCTCTCTCGTGTGAGATTCTCTGCTGGCTTTTATGAACATGACCACCTGGTCATGCGTGTGCTCTGAGATATCTCGGCCATTAATTAATACTATCTGATCACCTTCATTCAGTTTTGGATTGCATTTATCAGCCTGTTTCAAGACCAAAGAAACACATTAATGTCATTTCACCCAGTCATGTTAGCAGGAACATATCAGGATATTAAGTTCATCATGCAAGCTAAGTCTTCAGAGCTCTCCTGACAAGGTTTCATTTTCTGTATCAGAAGTTCTATCAAAGCTTCAGATTTAGATTCAGGTCTAAAGCTGCCTGTCTTGCTTCAAAGCCTCTCAATGAAGATGAGAAACAGTTTAAACAGCATATTGATAGCTATAAAAAGAATTCATATTTATCAAACACCCATCATCACATTGCTCAAAGATCTCAATTTCAGACTCCAAGCCTCAACAACCACCAGTTATAGCCATTTGCAAATTAATTTCTGGAAAATGTGTTTTGACCACGTAAGATAATATGCTTCAGTTTTTATGCAGTGAATACTGAAAAGTCCAAACATGATTTCGATTAACGTAATTTAAGTAACATGACATTTCCCAGGCACGCACTTTTTAAAATTTCTAGAAATCCAAATGCATTTTATATTTTTGCTACTTATCAGATTCTTGTTTAGTGGATATCAAATGATATCTACAAATAGAGAACATTCTTCCTCACTTCAGTCACTGACAGTCTTAACAAGAAGATGCAGGTAAGTACTTAAGCTATGATGCTCAAGTACCTTGTGACAGATTCTTTTGGTACATTTGCTGCAGAGACAACTAAAATAAAGAGATGGTTTTCCCCATCTCAAATGAAAACTTACATTATGTCTTGTCTTGGGATACAGAAATTTAGATTAACTGCTGAACTCTAGGGTTTGTTTGGCTTCTTTTTCTGCCACACTTCCTAGTATGCTTAGCTCTAAGTCCAGTGCAAAGCAATTGAAGCTATGGCCAGAATATGATGATGATGCTACAAAGATGATTAAGGGAGACTAAAGCACGTCATAGGAGGAAAGGCTAAGAGAGCTGGGAGTGTTTAGCCCAGAGAAAAGAAGGCTGCATAAAAATACTTGAAGGGAAGGTGCAGAGAAGATGAAGCCAGACTCTCTTCAGTGGTGCCCAGCGACAGGACAAGCGGCAATGGGCACAAGCTGAAACACAGGAAGCTCCATCTGACCATCAGGAAACACTTTTTTACTTTTTACTGACTGAGCACTGGAGCAGGTTGCCCAGAGACACTGTGGACTCTCCCAACTTGGAGTATTCAAAAGCCATCTGGACACAGTCCTGGGCAACTGGGTCTAGGTGACTCTGAAGAAGACTGGGTTGGACAAGATGACCTCCAGGTCCCCCCGCCAGCCTCCTGTGATTCTGTAGTATAAATGTGCAGGATTCTACAACCTTTGAGTGTCAAGTAGTGTAATGATTTCATTTTCATTGCTATCGTAATTTTTGTTTTCTCTAGGAAGTACCCAGCTACACAAGAGTGATATATTTATAAATAAACATATAGACTACTTCTCATTTGTTATATGAACGACCTTTACTGCTTATTCTCTATTCATAGTTGTTCCCTGTATTTCTTTAATGCCAGCACAGATTCCTTGAACTTTATTCATCCAATGTTATCAGTCCTATCAGAAAAACCATCACCAACCCCTCAAATGTGAGCAAGATGTTCTAATTAGATCCAGTCTTGGTTATGTCTTGCACTGATGACTCCTAAAATAAGTTTATCAGTGATCTACTATATTATCAAGTAAAAAAATAGTAAGAGATGGAAAGGAGAAGTAATAATGAAAGAATCAACAAGAATAAAAATGTAGAATAAAGAAAAAAATAGAGGCAGGGATATGAAGAAGAAAATGAGAGCCACTTATGTCAGAAAGTAAAGGAAAGAAAACACATGTATGAGTGCCACAAAACAGATAAAAGGGAAGAGAAAGAAGTGAGAGATTGTACAAGAGGCAAAATTCCCAAACAGAAAAGCTGCTTAAAAATTTTAAAAAGGAATAGCTTTCCCCAACTTTTTCCAACGAAATAAGGACAGAAAATAATGAAGGACAGGGAGGATTGACAATGATTATTAAAAAAGACAAACGTAAACAGAAAAAGAATGGGAATTAGGAACAGCCAGGGTGTACTTCAGCACTGATTTAACTAGGTATTTGCAGCTCCCCAAACATTCCCTTGCCGTATTTTGTACAATTTACAAAGTCAAGACTGAAGAATGCAGCTGTGAATGACTGATTATTTAATCACTCCAAAATATTACTGAGATAAAAATTACTCTTTCTGAAATATAATTTGAAAAGCTAAGTGATACAAAGACCATGTCAGGTCAGCATAGGAGTATCAAGAAGTCAACAAGAACATGGACGGAATGGTTTCTGATCTCCTATATTTGTCTATAATTTAGATTTCTTGTCTGGTTGCTGGCTATTATTCTTATCACAGAAGGAGATCAGTATCTTTGCTCAAAGAAACTTTGTTAATCATATGACATATTAATGCCTCTGCTCTCTTATTTGATTCATCTGACTAAATAAAATATATCTTGAAGGAGAATTAATTCCTTCTGTGTAAGCATAATTTGTAGATTTTTCAGATAGTGAGATTTTGCAGATAATTAATTCTGTCAAAGGCTTCCTGTCCTATTGACACACCCAACGTTTCATTTTATGCTAATCACTTCATTATTGCTCCAAGAAGCATGCATGGTATTTTTTCAATGAGAAGCTCTATTAAATAAAACCATAATGACTTCTTTAGTACCTTGAGACATTAATATTGTTCATGAAAAAAAAAAAATCATTATAGGAATTTAGTTAAAAAACCAAACCGCAAATCCCAAAAAACTCCCAGATGCAATAAAAATGGTTCTTTAGATATAATGCGTTCCCACAACAATTTTGGCTACTTTGTCCTACAATCTTCCCAGCATATTAGATTGCTGCTGTTTTAGAGGGTGATTTTTGAAAGAACTTTAGGACATGAAAGCGAAAAATACTGCCTTATTTTGGTGAGTAGATTTGCTTCCCCTCCTCCACAAAAAATACAGATCTTTTTGTAGGAAAGTGGGGAAAAGTGACCTGCAAACCTGAGAAATAATATTATCACATAATATTACCAAACAGCATCCCTGAGGACAATTTACAGGGTAATGAGTGAATCTAGAGCAAGTTAAAATAGTAGCAAATACAACGAAGGAAAGGCATCATTGAGCTAAAATAACGTCAAAACGCATTCCATAGACTGCTTAATTTGAACTTTCACATATCAGCTACGTATCATTAAACAGTCAAGAACAGGTGAAATTTAGTTTACAATTTCTAGTCTACAAGAAAACAATAGAATCACTGTTAATACCGTTATGCTCTAAAAATAAGTACGTATTTTCCTCTTGCTGTAACATGATGCGACTTCTTTAACACTGCTGTTGAGTGTATTATACTGGGTAACTGTTTCAGATTTGTTCCCTGGCCCTTGATAACTTGCTCGCTTACTAGGCTAGACAGCTAACTGGTCACTTGCATCTATGCCTCCGCCACTAACTGGAGACACTTAAATGAAGTGTGTAAGTTAGAAGTCCAGTCTTTTTCCAATCCAAGAGAAAAAAAATAGATCAATACTTTCCAGAAGCAATCTGAATCTGTCAAAGCAAATCACTGCCTCTGGAGAAGCATCTTTCATTCTCTAGTTGTGGAATAAGCCTGTTTGCCCTGCGTTAGCTTCAGTATCCCAAATCTCTCTTAAGAAGTTTGCTACGCTGACCATGGAATATTTTAAGGACTGTTTTGTCTTCACTTTGTGGATTTAAGTTATAATGACAATTTCCTACTACTCCTTTATTCAAATAATTATTGTAGTTCATAAAGGAGTGCTATGCACTGTGTAAGTCAAGCCACAAAGCATACACGTGACAAAAACAACTTCTCAAAACAATCTGTTTTAGCTTGATTTACATCATGACATTTAGATATCAGTCCTGTGACTGCTTATCAAATTTCAAAAGATGCAGAGTACATCAGATTTTTAGGATTAAGTCAGCAATATTTCCTATCAAGTTTGCAATTAAATTATTTTATGAGAGTTGGGAAATACACTTTGGAAGAAGGTGAGTGAAAAAAATTTGAGATAAGATATGTCCTCACAAATTTACGTACTAATTATTTAGAAAAAAGAGTTACCAAGGTGTTATGTTACTATTATTATTTTACCATTCAACAGAATAATTAAATGGCTGTTCTGATTCTGATGAACCTTCAATCTAATCCATAAATATTTTCATAAGCAAAAATCCATGGCAAAATAAGGACAGAGCAAACATTCTGCACTTCCTCTCTCCTGCCAAGCACTCTCCCATCCTATAAATATGTGTAGCCCTAAGTATTTCCTCAGCCTGTTGTTCTCCCAAGTATTTGTCCTCTCCTGACCACTCACAAAATTATTTTAACCACAGCATCCTTTGTGAAGAAGTTTCACAGGTCTAATATCTTATGCATGAAAAACTACTTCATTAAGCACGAAGAACTTGACTTTCACTAACTTAATTTGGTAGCCCATAGTTGTTCTGCTGGAATTCCCTGTTCACAGTTCTCCTAATCTTACAGATCCCTACTACATCTCCCTTAAACTAGTTCTTTTTTTTTCTAGGCTGCAGGGGCCCAGACTACTCACTTCTTTAATGAACACTTCCATATCTTCAGTCATCACTCTTGCCCCTCATCAAACATTTTCCAGCTCAAGATGCGCTTTTTGAGATGACAGGGGAAAACAAACATGCTTTCTACTGGTATCTTGTTTGGCTAACACTTTCAGATCTTTTAATCTGTGGTTTAAGAAACCACTGGTCAAACCAATTTCTAAAGAGTACAGCTCAGCTGCTATCTCATATTGGTTATGGGTGTCCAAATTCCAATATGTATGGACCTCTGAGTAGTGGGGGAGTAATAAAGGAAGCGATTATAAGTCTTAAGAATTTACTTACAGGTGATCCTGGAGTTATTCTTGATACCACTAATGGCATTTTTTGATCTACACCACCCTAGAGGAATGTCAATTAAACAATCATAAATATATCATTAAGCATAATTAGCATTTAAAACAATTAAACATTGATTTTTGTTCTTATATAAACTTTATGGTCTGCCATTATAGGCAAGGTTGGTAAGACTGCATTTTCACCAGTAAATGAAGGCAGAGGGTGCAGTGTCTTTAAATCTACCAATTTTCAGCAAACTACATCTAGTGTCTTTGCTTGGACATATATTTTAACAGGCAATAAAAAGATCAAATGCAGCATTTATTCTAATCCTACCCTTCAAGAAAGCCTAATTCAACACTTGAACTTGCAAGGCGGACAGTGTTTACATGCTGTGAAGAACCTGCAAGGGATCAGGTAGGATCAAAGTTCTCAACAACTGTACTCCCTTATTCTCTTTACTGTCACTGCCCCACCAATAAATGCCCAAGGTGAAAAGATCAGACGCTGCCCCGACTCTGATGTTATGGTTACTTTACAATATTCTAACTGCTTAAATGGAATTTCAGTGAGAGAATGTAAAAAATTTACATTAGTCAATTATCAATAGTAATTTCCATTTTCTTCGTAAATTAATTTTCACCTCTCTAATATGATTTTTTAATGGATATATTCAATTGGCTAGCACAAACCACTTAATGTGTTTTATAACACAGAGGTCCAATCTTCCAAAAGTTGATGCCTTAAATTATGCTTCCAAGTTCATATTTAGGCAGCCAAATAGGCAGTCTGCTTTGGAAACGTGCCATGCCCATAGTATATGCCACTTAAAACCAAAGAAGTAGTAGAGTCTTATTTCTGTAAATATTGCTTTAGCATTTAAGGATCAGGCTGCCACTTCTAAAAACTCTCGGTCCCTAAGAAGTTCCTGTAGAATACACTGCTTTCTCCAAAGAAGTGAAATAAAAATGAAAAATAATCATAAAGTCAAAGCATAGTATCTCTAGAAAGCATTTTAAAAACCTAAAACATTGATGGTTTACCTTTAGATTAAATCCAAACTTCCCATCTTCATCTGGTATGATACGCACCAAAAGTAAATCTCCCTCAATTAGGTCATTCTGCAACATACAGAAAAAACAAACCAAAACTTTTCTAATTTTAAAAGACAGACAATAGCAGCAAATTAGAAAATAGTGCATCCAAATTGAGGTGTGCTGAACAAGAATACTCTAAATAAATACAAGTTTAAAATAGAAAGAATTTAAGGTTACAGAATATACTTAGGATTGTAACCTTTTAAATTGAAAAAATAGCACCATACATAACAGCAAATGCATTCCCTGCTTGCTCTATCCTAACACTGTTACTCTCATCTTACCTTTCTCAATTGATAGCTCCTATTAAAATTTTCAATGTGTTGTCTTCACCACAGGTGACTTTAAAGGAAAATATGGTAGGTGCAACACATTTGAATCAATTCTACTCTGAGAACTATGAAGTGACTATTTTCCCCAATTTTTCTCCTGTAAATGGGTGCACTGGTATCTTCTGCGAGAGATCTGCAATCCAGAAGGAATAAAAGTTGGTAGTGGCTACTGGACAGGCAGGTTAGGAAGCTGCTCAGCACCCCTCAGAACAGGAAAAAGGGGAGGAAGGATCCTCTACCATAACACTACCAGGGAGTAGCTGCTCTCTAGTCAGTGCAGAATTCAAAGGACGATGTTTATCCACCCTGAAGAAGAGATGCCTGGGATAAAGCAGAGTTGTGCCTGCTATCAAGATATACAGCAACTTGAGTTATCTGATCTTTCCCCCTTGGAGGAAATAAGATTCAAACACGTAAGGATTCCAGTTCCACTAGGAACTTCCCCTGTAGATGCTTCTGGAAGTCTGGACACTATGGAAATCAATGCCCTTGTCAGGCAGGCCCACATACTGTGTACCCAACCTTGGATAAATTTGAGTAAGACAGACAAGATTTACTCTTATTACTGCATAAAATATGCTCATCCTGAAATATAACCACAGTTTTTGTGCATTCTTAATCTACAGTTCAAAGCTACATTCAGCACTAGTTCTGACTTTAAAAACATGCAATTGAACATACCTTATCGCAGTAGTATTGACTGGAATCTTCCGTTGAGCTGCTTTTTGTCACGGTATCATATGTTTCTAAGAACTGTTTATCCACCCCTTCCAATGGGTAAGAGACAGAAACGTTACCAACTCCATTGGGAGACCGAGCCAAGGCTTTAGGCGAGATACGGGTCAGAGAACTCTGCGTTGGACTGTTTCCCAATACATTCCTTCATTTAAAAAGGATAAATAAATATTACAAAGGTATGGTTATCCAGATTTTTTTATACTATATAGTAAAACATACAAATGTACTGCCCAGTTAAAAGAGCAAGCCAACTTTATATTTAGATTTAATACTGCTTCGAGGTGCACAGTAATGGGATTGGAGTATGATCTAAGGCTATCATTTGCTCAGTGGACATCCAGAAGAATGGACAAAACAAAGCTAGAGTAGCAAAAAAAAATTTTAGCAAAATATGTGGATGTTGTCAGTGAAAGGCACTGTCACAGTGGTAGAGGAAACCACTTAAACATGAAGAGAGCTGAACCCCACTGGAAAGGCGCTTCAGTTGCCAACCCTACCCATGAAAACCTTTTGCTGTGATTCCACTCTTCATCTCTGCAAAGCACTACTTTTTTCATTCCTCCCTCCCTCCTAGGAGTGCCATTTCAACCTTATCCCTCTGGGAGGTGGTTTGCAGAAAAGCCATGGAAAATTGTCAGAGAAACAGGAAATGAAGAGACAATGAAAGGTTTAGTTACAGTTAACATATTCTGTCATTCAGGTAGTTATAACCATGTAGAGGGATCTAGAACTAAAGTGGGGTACAGACCTGGCCTTATGATTCAAGAACCTTAAAATTCAAGGATTACAAATGTCATCAATTAAATACCTCAAATCTTAGAATTGGCCAAGTTGCCTGGTGGTGCTCCAGGATCTTTTAAATATTCATTTAACTACATGCCCTCTTATGAAAAGGATGAAATGCAGACCTCTAATACAACTAAAACTCTCCTTCAACTGGACCAAACTCACAGATATTATACAAACTGCTCTGTCTTTACAAATACCACGTAATACTTTGTGAAAATCTCCGTCCTCCGGAAAGCTCAGGTATAGCTCAGACACAGTTTCCTATCACTAACATACAGAGCTGTGTACGGCAAAAACTGCTCCCAGCTACTTGTATTACCCCACTGCAGACAGACCTTTCACTTACATGACAGACCATGATGCTCAGTGGCAGCATATTTTGCAAGAACCCCCTGCACTGCTACTGAGAACCCAGCTCTGCAATGAAGCTAATTTGATCCTTGGAAGTTCATGTGCTCTTAGTTGTTTATTATGGTTTATCCCTAAAAGCAACATCAGATTCCCATGGGGTCAAAGTAGCAGAAGTATATGCAAGTAAATCCTGGCATTAAAATTTGTAAATTCAACCATTTATTTCTGCTCTGGTCGTAGTCTAACTATATATGCGAACTTTTTTGAACCATTTCCAGCAGCCACTGCTAGCTGTCAGTGAAGAAGTAATACTACCCTATAGAGGAATGTAGCTTAGGCTTTTAACATACAGGACTTGCATTGCAGCAAACTTTAATAATACAAACACTCACTTCTCGGCTTGTGGAAATCTGACTGCAACATTCTGAAAGATGCCATCAAGTAAAATGTATTCCTGCCATAATATTTCTGATGTTCAGTTATACTATGTGTACTCGGCAATGAGAGTGAAGTGTTTTGTGCAGCATTTGCAGAATTTTCAGGTATTACAGAAAATATTTTTTCAGTTCTTGGGACATATTATTCACTTGGTGCTCTCAGTAGTGCTCTCAGTAATTTCAAAATACTTTGAAGTAGATAACTATAATGACGCTTAAAGAAATCATACTGGTAAAATTGTGGTTTTAGCTGATATCTTCCAGGACTTTTCACGATTCCCATGTGGTCAGTGTCAAGCAAGGAGAATACAACAAGAAATGTGAATACAACCTAATCAGTTTTTCAGAACATAGTAATTAAAAAAAAACAAAAACAAAAACATTTCACTTACAAGTTGAGATTACAGATCACAATGATTTTTCAGTGTAGAAAAAAAAATTTAATAATACCAGAAAAATATGACAAATTATTTCAGTTAATGCCTTCTGGTACTATATAAAGAGCTACCAGATAAATTTACCAGTGGATTCTCGCATCATTAAATTTTTACAACAGCTTTTAACCAACTTTTTTGTTAATATTGATTAGGGGCATATTAGGACTTAAGACATTCCACATCTACAATCTTCACAATCTTAATTGGTTTATACATTTATTTGCATCTTTTAGCCACACAAGACCACTACTTTGACAAATCAGTTCAAGTTATGTATTTTATTATATATCTTAAAGCTAGAGATTCTACAGTAGAAAGTTTAAAGAAAACTCACTTTGGTGATTCTTGTTCAGAAGACCTGTTAAAAAAAACAACAAACAAACAAACAGTAAATGAAAGTAAGTTAAATTTTCAGGAAAACAAGAACTAGACTCTGAAAAAAAAAAAAAAAAGCCTGCATAAGATCCAAAAGGTGTGCTCACACTAAATTAAAAAATACTTAAGCCTATGCTGGAAGTCTGAATCAGACAATCATGGAATTTATAAAACACTCAAAAATCCCAGGGCAGCTCTAACCACTCACTTCCACTTTTGGCACGAGCCCCACTACAGAAAACACATCTGCTACTGCAACTTAAACTATGTAGTTGTCTAAAGAAGCAAATATTTTGCAAGACACACTACATCATTTAAGAAAGTTTTAGATGTGGATCACGACTACAGACACCACCGTGTCTGTCAAAAGTCAAACATGGCAAAAATCTTTATGTACAGGTAACAAGAAATGAGCATAGGTGGCTTCAGAAGCATGAATTTCCTTACATTTAGTCTCATAATGTGAGAGCAGAACAGATGTTGACAGAGAACTTCAAGACAAAGCGTAACTAAAGCAGAAGGGGCTACACATACGAGGACAATCTAGCACAGAAAAGAAATAAAAATTTGCAGTACACAGCATCTTCCAAGGTACTCAATTAGCTTCATCAGAAACCACCAGAAACAGTGAGCTAAACTATATTACATCAATTAAAACAACAGCTGTGATACTAACAAATCTGAAAGCAAAAGTTACTAAAAAGGTGCTTGCAAAGCAAAGTAAGTTTAAGGCCGGTAGGATAGCTTTAAGAATTTAATTAAGTAGTCACCAAAAACCCTGGAGTGATATAAGTCCATGCGGGAAAAAAGAAAAACATGAAGTAGTTTGGTTTGAATGTAGAGTTGTTGAATTGTCAAGTTATAGGAGGCAATTCACAGTATACAGATAAATTTTGAATTACTGTTCTCTAAAACAACATCAATACTGAGAATTATGTACTATGATTCATGAAAACTACAGTAAAAATAGCAGCAGTATCAGTTAAGTTTTCTTATATGTATTCTAAAATATAAATAAATTCTTCCTTGAGAGTCAGAGATGGTGAAGCTTGATTCCCTAAGAAATTGTGGAGGTTTGGGTTGTGTGTACTTCTAATTTTTTTTTCAAAGCACTAAACTTCTTTCTTTTTTACTGCAGTCATGCCCCCCTTCTGATTCCACTAACATCCACCCCCACCCTCCCACAAACACCTCCGTTTCTCCTTGTTTGTAAACCCCACAGTATTTTTACCCCCTAAGTGCCAGCAGTGCACAGCAGATCCTCTGGGAACGCGCGCTCACTTGCTGCCTGACCAGCCCACATCTAAATGGAACAGCCAGCCACCGAACTCATACTGCAATTGTTCAGCGACAGGAGAACGTCAGTTTAAGGGCTGGGTTTGGGTTTTTTTTTTTCATAGTCACTGACTTTCACTCATCTTGTAGAAAACTTGGCATATTTGAAATCTCAACTCCTACATTAGATTTGACTGCAGTTGTCCAAGCGTTCTCAAGTAGGAATGGAGACAGATGGGCAGTGCACTGACATAAGCCTTATTTCCTTAGGAAGTCATGCTAAAAATAAAGGAACATTGAATTTATTTTTGTTTAAGCTAATTGATTTCCTTGTGGGCAAAGAACAATGAAACTGTACGTCTTTTCTATGTTTTGCCGCAGTAGAGCTACAGCTCTATTACCAAATTGTGTGCAGAATCCAAGTTGTCATAAGTTAACCCTTTCAAAAGCCTTCAGCAAAAATTTACACACATAGAATTGTGATGCAAATTGATGCAATGTCCCTATTTTAATGTATTACTCTCCCCTCTTCTCTCCTAATAGACTGAGATAATTTGAGACAGAAAAACAACAACTTGGGCTTCCATTCATACACTGTGTATAAACATACAGCAAATTTTTAATCATCTCAGTAACATCTGGAGACTTAAACATGGGCTATAAATTCTTAGTAAAATTCGCTAAAGGTTTATCTGTTGAATTATTGCACTTTAATTCAAACATAACAGCTCTGAAAGAGTTACTGAATCATTCTGTAGCCTTTTAAAGTGGAGAAAAGGTAAAAAAAAGTTGACCTAGAAAGCGACCAAATTCAAGGCTTAAAAGAATTCATCAGGGACAATGCAGCTGTGTCTTCCTAAAGTCCTAGTAGCTCAGCATGCTAGAGCTACAGAATTTGCTCTGCAACTCAGTTAAATAGTATTTCTAGCATTACCCACCAGTATGACAAAGTATCTTAAATGTGAATAACTAGATGATCTTTTCCAGCTATACAGTATTCACATTTTACTAAGCTATCTTCCTCGTCACACAACATATGAAAAGGATCATATCTTAAGTCAGTAAAAGACAACACTCACCAGACCAGCCATTCAACTTTTTCATCAAGAAAGAGAGCCCTTCCTTGCAAGGAGATTAAGCTTTCCATTGGCGCAGCTAACTAGCAAACACCGTAAAACTGCAGGTAATTTCTCTTCCTTACTCCACAATATATCTAAAATGATGCCATTCCAATCTTTCATTCACTATAGATTGTTCTGTTGGTGAAAATCTTTATGATAAAATTATTTGCCCCAAGAAATCTAACTCTCCTCTTCTGTCAGGAGTACAGAAAGGAAAGGTCTTCAGGAAAGACCCCTCCTCCCCATTTCAGTGTGCCCTACCAGGGAATTCCGCTATTCTGAGAACTGAGGATGATAAACTATAGCAGAGTAAAACCCCGAGAGAAAAGGGACAACTGAAACAATAGCACTGTAGCA